CCTAGGTTTCCTGTCTGGCAGATGGAAAGTGGCCTCATCATCTGCGGGGGAGACCCCAGCCTCTGGCGGGACTGGATCCCGCCAAGACCCTGAGCATCTCCTCTGCCGATGTCCTCCCCTCAACCCGCCTCCCCCAGGATGGGGCCCCAGGGCTGGCTCCCGAAACTTTTCCAGTTAAAGAGAGTGTTTGATGTCAGCCACCTGGGAAGGGGGGAAGTGGGGTCCAACTGTCCTTTTAGCCCCCCGTTATGTGGACTTTTCCAAGTTCAGACAGGGTCCAGCCTCCTCCCTCTGAGTTGTGGGCCCCACATCTGGGCTGGGTAGGGAGTGAGAGGCAGGGCTGGGGCCCCTTGGAAAAGGATCACAGCTTCTGTAGTGTCGGCGGGGAGGGGTGGGCGTGCAGGGGGGCGGATTCTTGCAGAACTTCCCGGGCAGTGCTGCCAGGCAGTCAGAAGCCAGCCCCGGGGTGAGGAGCCCAGCTCAGTTCATGTCCCACCAGATGTCTCTCACTTTCTAAGCAGTGGTTACAAGGTCAAGAGCATGTTATGGATACCATGTATCCTGCCCCCAGCAGAAGGACTTCTCTGTTAAAGGCTGGAGAATATAAAAGCACATTCAGTGAATTTGTGGCAGAGGATGAAAGCCTGTCTTAGACATCATTTACAGGCATCAGAAACCCATCGGAGTTAGCTCAAGTGAGGTGGGTCATTGGAAGCAGACAGGGGAAGCCAACTACCAAAAGGCTCCTCCCGCCCCTCTCCCAGAGCACCACAACCCCTAGACGCGGCCCTACTCTCCTCTGGCAAACTCTCTTGTTTAGCCTTCCCATTAGTCCCGCATAGCTATGGCTCAGCACGCCAGGGTCTGTCCCTTCACCAGCCCTCAGGGACCCTGTGGTGGACTGAATAGTATTTCCCCCAAATTCACGTCCGCCTTGAATCTTAGAGTGTGACCTTCCTTGGAGAAAGGGTTTTTGCAGATGTAATGAGTTAAGATGAGGTCAGACTGGCTTAGACTGGGCCCTAAATTCAATGACCGGTGTCCTTATAAGAAGAGGAGAGGACACAGAGACACAGAGACAAAGGCCCCGTAGAGACCCCTGTAGACACACAAGTCAGAGGGCCACGTGAAGACAAAGCAGACAGTGGGGCGAGGCGGCTCGTAGCCGAGGGGTGCCTGTGGCCGCTGGAGGACACAAAGGATTCCTCCCGAGAGCCTGGAGGGGGCGTGGCCCTGCTGACCCCTCGATTTCAGACTTCTAGACTCCAGGATTGTGGGAGAGTAAATTTCTGTTGTTTCAAGCACCAAGTTTGTGATCATTTGTTACAGCAGCCCTAGGAAACCAATACACCAGGAAACCCCCCACCTGGAAGATAGGTCCCCTCCGCGTGTGTCCCAAAGCCTAAATGAGGCACCAACCAGCCCACTGTGCTCAGGGGTCTGCTTCCCCCACCAGGGACCCACGAGCCACTATGGCTGGGAATGGGCAGGTGGCACAGATGTGAGTCTCCGAGCTGTGCCCCATTTACACCCTTCCATCGTCACTTTACCCAGAGGGTGTGGGTTCACATCTTGGGTTGGAGGAAGGTCTCTCCGGGTATGCGCCTCGGGGTTCTGTGGCTTCCACACTCCAGTCAGCTACTTGGGTAAAGACCAAGGGCGGCGGTCACCTGTGCAGACGAGACGAAGCCACGAAGAAACGCCACCCTGCGGATGAAAGAATCGGGATTCAAGAAGCTCTTTGCAGGTGAGAAAGTCAACAAGATGACCTCGAATGAGAATGCCCATAAAGGCCAACTCCCGGGCTCCAAGAGTCAGTCTCAGAAGGGAAATAGGCTGAAGCCCGCCTTAGCAGCACTCGTTGTGAGAAAGCCCTGAAGGCTGTCGTTCCCCGGGGGCTAAGAATGAGCCAGGGCGGTGGTCCAGCTAGCTAAGAGCTTTAGTTGCACAGAGAGAAGCAGAGCCTCTGCTGCTTGGCTGGAGAGGTGCTGGGTGTCTGGGCTCCGGGCAGCCCACACCTGAGAGAGGCAGAGAAAACCCGGACGGCAGCAGGGAGCCAGAGGGACGGCCTGGCCACACTGGCAGCAGAGCGTTAGTTTAAGATGCCGCGGAGGGGTCAGCAGTTAGTTACCAGTCGTCCCGGTCACCTCCAGACAGTGCCGGTGTGAGGAGGCACAGCTAGCCAACAGGGACCTTCTGGGGCCTGTTCCAAAGCGGTGGCTGCGGAGGTGTTGCCGCCGCGTCCCCAAACAGGGTCATCTCAGCTGCAGAGGCCGGGCCTCGGTCTCCCCGCACGCCAGGGCTCCTAGGAGCCGTGTGCCCCGCGGGTGGGCCGTTCCCCGGGAGCCCCGCGTCGCGGCCCGCCCCAGGGGTCTGGCTCCGCTTCTCCGCCGCGCACGCGGGCGATCGTGGTGAATGGGTGTGTTTGGGGGCCTCCCAGGGCGCGACGGCCTGCGCCCCTGCCACCCCGGGGCTGCTCCCTCCTTCACCTCTCGCGTGCAGGCGGCCCCTCGGGCGTCGGCTCGGAGCTGGGGCGGGGGGCTGGCGGCCGAGAGGGGGCCGGCGGAGGCGAGCGACGCGGCCCCAAGTTTATGCTAATCCGCGCAGAGCCCGCCTCCCACCTCCCCTCCGCGGCCCCAG